CCTCTTGAATGCCTGCTGCACGACTTCTTTTTCTTCTCTGATTACTTATTTCTTCCATCTCACCAGACAGACCTGCTGTGATCCACTTATCGATTCTCATGAATTCTTCTACTGCAATTTGTCTCTATCTTTTGCTCACTTGATTCTTTGAATTCCTCCCTCTTCCCTTCTCTTCACTCATTTTCCTCTCCACTGCTGCATCGTGCAAAGAAATCGATTTAATCTTTCCTGTAGCCTTCTGAATTAGTTAAGTTCTGCCACTCAGCTATACAACCCACTATTTTAATTGCCCCATTTTTTGAGCCTTGTAAAAGGTAAATACTTTTGGTTGTATTTTCATTGTTTTGGCCCTTAGTCACATTTTTGGGAACCAAAACAAGTGGTTGCAAGGTCTCAATAAATCAAGTTACAGGTTTCATTTGACTGCGAGAGACACAACTGTCACGAATCAATAGTGAACCTTCATTGTTTGTCTTGTCTGGTGACACATACACTACAGATAATGGATAGATGGATATTAGAGAAACCTAGTGGAGTAATTTACTGAAATACAAGTATGATTCAAGTTCACTTAAAGAAAACTAACAAGTATTCTTGCAGTTTAAAAACAGCTAAAATAGTAGTTTACAGACAGTACACTTACATCTGTACTTTAAGAACCTAAAAAGTGGAATAGAAGTATATAACATATCTTTAAGTTCACCTTTTAGTATAGTTGCAGTACAAAATAAAACTTAAATGCAAACTACATGTGTACTCAAAGTTTACTACTCTTACACATGAATAAAAGTCCAATTTAGTCCTAAGAAGTATTGAAATAGTATACTTATACACATACTACTACTATATTGATATTAGTACCTTAAAGTGTACTTGGGAACTATACAGGTACCCATACAAACCTCTTTATAGTTCTTTCTGTAATGTATATTCAATACAGTAAATAGAATGAATGTGAATGAGACTAAACCCAGTTTCTTCCCTGTTTACTGCACATGTAGCACCAGAAACTGAACGGACCAGCTGTTTTGGTCCATCTCTTGTATTTGTCTCCCTGGTGGAGACACCTGGCCAACGTCTCTGTAGGAGGTGCCATCGTGACTGATATGAATGCTGGGTAAATCTACAAAGATGAGGCCCAAGTTGTGAAAAAAAAGGAATTTGTTTTGTGTTTTGCTCTTTTGTTTTTCTTTTTTGACCCGAGCCAATCAATGAGTGATTAGTGTCTTGTTTTGTCCCTACTGAGTTAAAAGCATCCTGATTCCAGCGAGCTCTCTGAATTACATCGTCTCTCCTTTCTCCCTGCACCTTTCTGTCTTGCTCATTTCTTGAAATGACTCTCTCCATCTCTCATATATCAAATTCCCCACTCTGATTGCAGCTATTTACCTTGAAAAATAGATCTTTAATTCTTTCTTCTTCCTAGCTTCTTTTCCTCCTACAGGCCTTCTCTCTGCTTCCTATTCTCTCTGTTTCTCCCATTTCCATGGTCAGTGGAGAAAACATCTTCTGCCTTGTCTCTGTCTCCTGTCTCCTACTATGGACTCCCTCCTTTTCTTAAACCTTTTATGGTTTCCTGTCTCCATTGTGAGGCTGAAAACAGGAAGAGATGAGCAAAAGAAGAGGAATGGAAAGAAAAAAGTGTAGGAAAGGACAGTTTGGCAATAAAACAAAAACCAGGAAGTCATGCAGAAATAAAGAGCCAAGTGGATCAATAGTAAGAAACAGAGGAATGTCAGGAACAAAAGACTTTAAGACACAAAGGAGAGAAATAAGAAAAGATCCACAAGAATGAAAATTGGGGTGGCACAGTGGTGCAGTGGTTAGCACTGTCATCTCACAACGGGAAGAAGAACAGAAAGGAAACATAAGTTAAAAGGAAAGGAAAGCTATAGACAGGTAAGAAGAGGGAGGGGAATGAAAAGAAAAGAAATGCAGGTAAGAAACAATAGATGAAGGAGAAGTAAACTAAACCCAGTCAGGCTAATGTGTTCTGCTGTGACAGACTGCTCTCTGCCCTAAACATCTAACCTGACTGCTGTGGCTGAAACATAAGCTAAACACCAGAAAGACACTGCAGGAAACAAAACAAACAAAATGAAAAAAACAGCATCTACTTGAGATTTGGTGGTGCTGGCTGATAAAGACATACAATTTATAGAAGGCTGGTTTGGAAAAACTGAGCAATCAATATACATCTGGAGGAAAAACAGAGACGAGAGGAAAGAAATGTATCAGTTGATTATTTAGGATCAGTGATACAGGTGCTCTTTCTCTTCTACAGCTTTTATTTATTATAGACCCTGTTTGTGTGTGTGTTTGTGGGGCCTGGTATTACTCATGTTGTGGGGACGTAAATCTGTTTACGCAGTTACACTGTGGGGACTCAATAGCCTTATGGGGACAAAGGTTCCCTATACGTAAATCTGTACATTTTAGATTTAGAAATATCCACACTATTCCTGTGTGTGCAGTTTTACATTTCTGTGCATTCAGAGTTAGTATATTTTGCATTTTAAGCATTTGTGTTTTTATTCCCCTATGAAGATGGTGACTCATTACACTGTTGATTGTTTCTGGGTCTGCTGCTGTGTATCTGTGTGTGTGTGTTAGAGGGGTAAACAGGACTCTAGAACGGACAAATAGGCACAAAACAAAAACCCTTTAAAAGCAAAGGGCTCTCTAAATGAAGGTCAGGCAGGCTCTGTCTGAAACTTGACTTTTATTTCTCTGTGCGAGTAAATATGATCCTGCAGCTGTTCAGCACAGTTTCCTATCTTTTATAAAAGGGTTTTTGGATATAGTCTAATCATGGAAACACAGTCAAAGCCTATAGGCCAGAGTTGTCTTGCACTCTGTGGTGTACTACTGTCTGGAGCACAGTAACTTTTTCTAACCTGCTGTTGTTAATATGAGACATTTTTGAGTCTTTTTAGCACTTGTTATGTACTGGTTTGTAAGGATGTCTATCATACACTGTTAGGGGTAAACTAAAGTCATTTTAACTAGCTTCCACTAGAAAAGAGGGCGCTAGTTCGCCTAGCTGGCCACTGTCAGCACAGAATCCCACTAGATGTTTTCATCAGCAGCTCTACACTGTTATATTCATGTCACATTTTAGAATAGAGGCTGTCTGTCTTATGTTAGCTCTCTCTTCTCAGTGGAACCAGTTGCAATAATGACAAATGCACACACTGTCAAAACTAGCCCGTCACCTCAGCGCTCTGTGTGCTGCTATCTGATTTGAAGCACAGCAGGGGACGACGTGCAAATCACAAAAGCTAACAACCAGAGTGAGTTTTCTGTCCCCAAGTGATCGGCCAGCATAGTGCGTTACTTCAATGACGAGCTGGGATTTATTTATTTATTTTTGTTTAACAAAAGAACTTTAACACTTTAAACGTGCTCACTGAGTTTTCCCTCTGTCTGAATGTACTGTCACTCAGAGGGAAGTACGGTTCTGGTTCGCCACAGGAGGAGCAGGATTCTGCCTGAGTCGACGGCTGGCGGAGAAGATGGCTCCCTGGGCCCGGTATTTAGAAACACTGCCTGCATGTGTACTTTGACTTCATAGGGACCAAATGTGCAAATAAAGAGGAAAAATGAGACATTTGAAAGTTTATAATCATAATGTACTATCTATTAAAGCTAAAACATTATTACAAGCTGCATTTATTGTTATTTTTACTTTGTGTCATCAAATCAAACTGAAAAGATTTGAAGCTATAGTTTGAAATGCAGTAGGTAATTCATCCTACTAAACACTTGAACATTTACTTTGGTTAAATGCATGTGGTTACAGTGTAGAAATGTGAAGATTATCAGATGCTTGATGGAAGTGCCATAATTTGACATGAGAGCCAAAAAAACCAACAAACCTTTCCATCCTTATCATTGTTATCAGCAAAACAAGCGCAGAAAAGACATGACATGCAAACCAATGTCAAACAATCTTGTGAATTTTATGACTTCTTATATTAAAGAGCCTTCCTACACTGTTTTTCAGTTGCATTAGCTATCAGCATTTTGAACAAAATTCAAAGCTGACTAAATGTTCACAGTGATGAATCACTGATCTAAAGCAAGTGTCTCTGCAAGTCTATATTTATACACTTTAAGAGCTGAGAATAATGACTGCCTTGGGCTAGAAGGTAGGAGATCAATCACAAATTTTATGGCGTTCTTTTGAAAAGGTCGGCAGTAAAGTACGTGAAATATGTAGTTAATTGGCCAAAGCATACAAGATCGTCAGCAGAATCCATTTAGATTGAAAGTTAGGCTTAACCAGAACAGAATCTGTGATCTGTGGATATATCAAGAAAATGTCTTTTTTAATTTTGTCAAATATAAATCTGTGGTAGTTAACGTGTGTATGTGTTTATTTCAGTGGCTCACGCTTTGAGCAGACGTCAGCGACAATACGTCTCCCTGATGATTGCACCGTGGGCTTTATTGTGGAGAAGAGACTGGGCATCTCAATGGTCCACTCTCCTTTATTCCACTCACACCTGGAGAACCTGCTGCTGATCAGCCACAGAAGCATACCACACCAGGTAATAACACCCCCAACACCACACACACAGAAATCCAAGCAGATGCATTACTTCTGCTGTGTGTGTGCTTTCTCCTTTTTCTGCAGGTGACACTGAGCTATGGGATGTTTGAGAACAAGATGAACAGTATTGAGGTGAATGGAAGCTTCTCCAAGGAGGACGACCCCTCCCGGTTTGTCTCTCACACCACTCATTAAACCAGGAGATATGAGCAACATATCTCTGCCATGTGCTGAGTGTCTTTTCTAAGTACCCACCCTTCAGTCTGCAGCTTTATGACATTTTTGTTGGTGCTCACTGCAGATATATAGGTATATGTCACAAACCATGCAACACTGAGCAGAGAGAGAGGACCCAAATGCAGACACACAGACAGACAGGCGGGCTGGCAGATGCAGGGAGAGCACTTAAATGAATGAACAAAAATAGGCTCACTCAGTCTTGGAAGTGGAAAAAACAGGAATCAAACACAGAGTCCAGACAGAGGTCATAAATAAACAAATAATCCACAAATAAGCAAATGGCCCCAGGGAGCACATAAAAAGCAAAGTCCAAAAATCCAGGCAGAAAACCTAAAGCTGACAGTAAATTCAAAGACTGCAGAAACTGTCTGGAATACTAGTGGTTAGGAATCACAGCAGATGATCTGGCAGAGGACAAGGGAAAACAATATATATACTGGGAAACAAGAGTGAAGGGAACAAGAGAGGACAGCAGAATTGGGAATAGTGGAAAAGTGCAGGGACCTCTGGTGGCCGGAGGGGAAACGGCGGGTATCATGACAGTGTGCACCTTTAGACCGGCTTCCTTGTGTGTGAGACAGGCTCAGGTTATTTCTGTGAACTACCTGCAGGACTGTGGTTTAATGCCTAGCTTGGAATGTCTACAGGATCTGAATGCATTGTGTTCAGGTTGCGCTGCAGCGCAGTCATGGCCATGTTGTGGTTTCGCTGTCCACTTAAAGCAGAGGCATATTATCAATAAATTATTAAGACTGATGTGCATGTGCATTGCATGAAGAGTAAAGTTGTTTGTTGAGTTTAGAAGTTCTCTGCACTCAGTTTAACTTCTCAGGTAAACCAACCTGTGACACCCCATCTGGGATGTGATGCCCCTGTAGCTCAGGTTCATCTTGTTCTCTGTTCAGTCAGAGATAAAAGCAATTTGATGTAACACAACGGAACGACAGATGTGTTTGTCTCTCCCAGTTTCCCCCACCTTCAGCTGTAGGAACATATCACCACACTTCACAGTGAGCTCTCCCCATTTGTTGCCATCCACTAGTGTCACACAGTGTTACATTCAACATGGCTGCAGCACTTAGAGGAGCAGGTCAAATGTTCATGTGCCCAAGTTTGATCACAGTGCAACTATTCTTGTATGCATGGAAGATACATGCCTTCCCAGCACAAAGTGGGCTGAACGTTGAGTTTTGCACTCCTTTGCTTGTTAGACGTGCTATATGCAAACATTTTAAATCACAAAAAGACAGTCGGAGTCAGGTAAAATCTGAGAATAATAAGCATGATAAAAGAAAATATGTTTAGAAATGTTTTATAGAGGTACACACAAACGGGGTGTGTACCAGATTTTAGTAATTTAAGCTCAATATTATATGCAAAACAAGAAAAACACGCATCCTGCAATGTTAAACAAAAAACTGGGTTTGAAGCAGCCAAAAGCACAGAGTAATTAATACAGTATAAGCATATAAAGTGTGCTTTCAAGGCCAAAGATGATGAATTTATTCAAACCCTTAAAAAAACCTTCCAGGGTCCATAAAGAATTACTTCTTCTTTGGTCTTCTTTCCATCAGATTTCATTTAAAACCCTTTAGCGAGCTTTGAGATTGCCTGCCAACCAAGAACAGGCAATCAAATAGGAGCAAAACACAATCTCCTTCCCAGAGTAAGAAAAAAATATATATAAAGCAGCAGAAACATTCTAGTATTAAGATATTACTGTACGACTGTATCTTCATTAGGTGCTTCTGCCAGACTATTTTTAGCTACTGTAGTTTTCTCCTCTTTTGTAGTAGCAGATCATTTGCATCAGCGCTGTCGCAGTCTCTACTGGCTGCTCATGGAGGACAATACAAAGTCACAGATAACTTAATGTCCCTTGTAACACACACTGCGGACATTACAGCTCACCGTGCACAAAACTTAATACAGATATTACAGAAAGAGCAGTTTTATTCTTACTTCTATTGTAACTGGAATTCCTGATGCTGAGGCCACTGATGATGTGATTCACCTCACTGAGGTCACTGCAGACTCTTAACCTGTAAAGCAGCTCTGTCAATGTGTACAAGTAGAATTGAGTAACTAAAGTGCTGAGTTACTGAGTTTTGTATTATGCTGGCAAGGGCAAATATGTAAAATGGGTTTGTAAATCTTTGTGAGGCAGTATAAAGTTATACTTACCTGTACTTAAGGATATCTCTGGTATGTCCCTGGTTTGAGTCTGGCTGGGGAACTTTGTAGCATCTCATATCTTCACTTTGTTATGGCCTAAGGCAAAAAAAAAAACCTAGTTTGGACACCAAATACAACACTCAGATACAGCTGAAACTAAATTTATTTCAAGGACAGACTAGAGCAAGAGACAGGAGTGGACTAGGAAAAGGTGGTCGACTAGCAGGTAATGTCAGGGACAGCGTGTAAAGCTGCCAATAATGTTGAGGGTGTGAACTCAGTTATAGGGCCAGATAAGTAAAAGCAGAACACTGTCTCTTTAATCAGAGCACTGGACAGAAACACACGATAAACAATGCAGGAGTCTGATTCTGCATGTAACACTCTCAAGTCGATAATCCAGTCCAGGGTCAGATCCAGCAAACTCACACATCCAAGGTATCCACGCGAGGAATGGTATGTAGGGGAAGTTCATAAGTCGATGCACAGAATCCAAACAGAATCAGAAGGGTTAGGCAGTACTGCGGGTTGAGGTGAACCAGTGGGAGCTGGGGAGCTGTGTTGGGGGCGAAGCAGGCAAGTGGAGCAGAGGTAGACCAGTGGGAACTGGAGAACTGTGCTAGAGCCAAGCCGGCTGGGAGTTGAGGTGAACCAGTGGGAGCTGGGGAACTGTGCTGGGGATGAAGCAGGCAGATGGCAACTCAGGCTGCGATGAAGAACAAGCAGGTGAGTTGAGCTGGCATAGGACTGGAAACTTTCCAGGCAGGGACGAGGAAAGAACAGGTGAGCAACGCTCACACCGGGCTGGAGACAACTCACACAGCAACGAGGAGCAAGCAGGTATGTCAAGCTGGCACAGGACTGAGGCAAACCAGGCAGAGGTGAAGCAGGAGACAACTCACTGAGCCATGAGGAACTGAGCAGTTACAGGACAGAGGCAGCCCAGGCAGCAAAGCTACAAGGTGGTACACAGGAACCAGGAAACTGTCAAACAAACAATAGAACACCAAGAGGCAAGGCCTCTCAGGAGGTATAACATTAGAGAAGCTAGTTGGCAGGAGAGGACTGCGTGGACAGCAAAACCTGACTGGCATGGAGGAGGCAGCTGAGCCTGGACTAAGTACCCAGGAGAAGATTGGCTCATAGGCAACAGCTGTGCCCCCTCCCTACCGGCCTCGGCCCCATGTCCCAAGCAAAGGGAGAGAGAAAGCTGGCTAGTGTCCTAACACACTCATTTTCTGTCACCAACCTCACCACTATCAGTAAAAAGGTTTATGAAAGGCAAAAATACCAGAAAACCTTCTAACCAAAACCAGGATCTTTTATCTACTTTCTTGTTTTTACCTTTTTCTACATGTACAGTGAATAAGAGCGATATACAGACAAGTATATTAACATATAAACTGCATCAGTGATCACCAACAGTGGTACCACAGAGTTTTCAGAATTCATCACTTCTGTCTCCCCACAGGTTTAAAACCGTCCACTGCATGCTGTATCCTTTCACCAGCTGGTGTCCGTGAACTCTTCATAGAGGACCACAGCCTCCAGAGACATATGGGACAAGACTGGTAATCCTGCTGGAGGAAATACTTTTCATGGGACTTGTCTAGATGCAGAGAAAACTGGTGGAAGAACATTAGAAGCAGATGCCAGAACTGGAGACAAAATAATGTGAATGAAGCCTAGGACACCTAGTCCTCTTGCACCTGATTAGAAGGGATAAGGGTGGATACTGTTCTATGCAAAACATAGATTAATAGAAGAACCTTGGACTGAACGTTTTGTGTCTTTACTACTGATTGTTTTGTTGCAGTGAAAGACAAAAGACAAGGCAGAACTGGATGAAATTTCGCAAAGTTATCTTGTTGATAAATGGACAAAATTAAAACAAAATTGTACAGATTTTTAAATTTTATGCCTTTTTTTCTGAACTTTGATAATCTTTTATGCATCTTATTTTATTTTTTATGATTACCATATTTGTCAAGATTTTTAAAGTTGATGATGATTAAAACTACAACAAGGCTGCATCTACATGGACTGAATTATCTCCAGGTGGCGAGGCTGAGGTTTCTGAATTCATTTGAGTTTTTATTGATTGAGTGCGTCTGGTTTTCTGTGTGAGTGAGTTTTTACGAAGGAGACGGTGTCCTTGTACCTATGAAGTCTGCACCTGGTGAACTATTCTGAACCACATCTCCCTTCGCACCCAAACCTCCTGTCCTCCCCGCCTGGCTTCTGTCACCCTCCACCCTCCATCTGTCTTCTTCCCTCCTCCTCCCACCTTTCTCTGTCTCTTTCTGTTTACTAAGTCTTCTCTGTAATTGCTGTGTTTGCTCCTTCAAGGCCATGGCTGAAAGCAAACTGAACTTCCCCTCGTCCTCTTTACCTCTTTTTTTAACCTTAAACAACAATAACAAACCACTAAAAGCATGAAGCAGACGACATATGACACACCTACCACCCGCTCCTCGCCATGGCAAGAAAATCAGTTACAGAACAAGAATATAAATCTCAAAATGACATGAACACAATCAAACGTTAGTGTGGAAATAGGAGGTGGAGGGTCTTTGCAAAGTACCTGCAGAGAGATGACAGTGTGCCGCCGGCTCCTGCACGTTGCTTATTTGTTTTGAACGGAGATGTGATGAATACAGATATACTGCTGAATGCATCTAGGGCTGACCTTGTGTGAAGTGGAAGGAAAGTAGTTGAGAATGTGTTGGAATGGCTGTGTGAGCCTGACACATCTCCACGAGAATACTGAAACCCACTGTGTGGCATACAGTAAATAACACAAGACCACTGTGAATATAAGATCAATTTACTGCAGCAGTTACAGAATGAAATATTTCTATATTCATACATTTGAACAGAAAGTAAGATGATAAATAGTCTGTAGGATTTGTGTGACAGATGAAGGTTTCACTAGCGGTGCATATGCTGTGTGAAACATTTGGAGAATGTTTTCATTCACCACTGGTGTAGATATAGTCCTAATGTGATGATGAAAAATAAAATGATCTGAAAAGCACATTGTGTGAAAGAATAAACAGCTCTAATGACACAAAGCTTTGTAACCATGCCTTGATAAATGGTAACAGCAGTGATAACATGCTCCCAATGACAATACTAACATGAAGATATTTAGTAAGTATAGTGTTTACCATGATGATGCAGTAGGTATCACTGCTGCCCCACAGTATGAAGGTGTTGAGTTACCATGCCCTTGGTATTACTTACTTATATATGGGGGCGACTGTGGTTCAGTGGGTAGAGCAGTCATCTTCCAGTAGGAGGTTCGAATCACGGTGTCTGCAGTCCACGTGTCAAAGTGTCTTTGAGCAAGACACTGAACCCCCAAGTTGCCCCCGATGGTTAGAGCCATCGGTTCAGTTGGCGCCGAAGATGGCTGCCTCGGTTCTGTACTGGAAACAAATTGCTTGTGTGTAACATACTTGGCCAATAAAGGTGATTATCCTTATCCTCACATTATGGGGACAGAAACCTGTTAATGCACTCACACGGTGGGACTTGGCTTGAAAATCACTTGAAATCACTGAATTTTAGGGTGGCAACATGGTTTAAGGTTAGGTATTAGGGTTAGGGTTCGGCAAATAGTGATTATGGTTAAGGTTAGAATACGTCTATAGGAAATTAATGTAAGTCAATGTAAAGTCCCCACATGGAATCAAAGCACAGCGTGGGTGTTGTTGTCATGCCTGTGTGTGTTTTCCCATTGTGGGATTATTAAAGTTTTATCTTATCTTATTTTATCTCTTTCTCCAGGGACTCCGGCTTCCTCACACAGTCCAAAGACGTGCATGTTAGGCTGACTGGTGACTCTAAATTGCCCTTAGGACAGTGACATACCAGACTGATATGAAAGAACTGGCAGTGATGAAGGCTGACTGCTGCGTCGCCTCAAGTTGCCTCTGTGGGCCAGTCGGGTTGAAAAAGTGACACCTAAACACACCGCACAGACAACAGCCAATGGCTGACTAGCACATACAGTATGTCCTGTGCCTGCGTGCAGAAATAACTCCCCCTGTCAGCAGTTGGCTGTTTCTGTATTCACCATTCAGAAAGGGGGAAAAAAAAGAGCTAATGCTCATCGACATCCCGCTCATGGCTGATAGCTTGGTGCGTCTTGGAGTGTCATAATTTTCAGCATGACTCACCCTGTACCTGCTGTATCAGCATGATCAGAAGTGATGATTCTGTTCAGTGACAGAAGGTGTCAAACACGGCATCTAGTCTGTGGCTTAAGGTGAAGCGTTTTAATGAGCTTAAAACCTGATTCCTTGAAGTAAAAGATCTCAAAAATCTTAAGGTAGCACTTCACCTCTTTTTATACACTTTAAGTGGAGTCTTTTTTAACTGACCCGATTACAATCACTTTAGTTGATACATGCGAATGGCAATTCAGTTTGTGTCTGCGTTGGAATGTGATTAGTTAACAGAATTACATCTCCCATGTCTGAACAGGAAACCGATATGTGCACCAATGTGTTTTTGTTCTCCTTTATTACACTCTCTATCACATTCATCGAACAGAGGCTGTTTCGATTTTACTTTGACTTTGCTGGGTAGTAAATTTAGATAATCTTTTGCAGGGTAGACCTGGCCAAGTTACAAAAACAGTCAAATAGACAAAACGATACTAAAAAGGCCAGAAATAATGACGAACACAGACACACAACAACTGGAGTCATTGCAGCAGCCTGAAATAACCTGAAATATCAGCTTCTTCAATTAAATCTGTCAAAATGCTGGAGCATCTTGAAACTATCTGATGTCAAGTTTTATAAGTATGTGAAGTCCAGAAACGATCGGTTATCATGGGAGCCAATCATTTCTAGGAGTCTTATCTTTAGATCAGAGCTTAATTATCTTGAGACCAACCAATTTCTTGAGATCGTGACTTAAAATAATTTTCTGGAGATAACATCAATTTATTCAGTTTGTATGTGTGTGTGTGTTTCATTTATATCTCTTTATAAGAACTACAGTCACAACTCATCATAATTACCCTGATTTATATTAATCTAGCAACAGGTCTTGTTTTCATTGCACCTTTAATCACACACACACATGGTGCATACAGCTTGTGTATTCATTTGCACTTGTCTTGTCCAAGTGTGTGGAAATGATATTCCTGCAGCCACCTCCCCTGTGTTCATCCCTCCCTCTTGTACAGTAGATTTATGACCTCTGCTGTCCATAAACAGGTCCGTGGTAGCAGAGGACCAGGTCAATTGGAGACAAAGTATTAGAGCTTCCAGACGAACTCTTTCTCTATTCTCTGCTGTCCATCATACAAATTGACAGGGCCTTGTAATAGGCATCTGGGTGGGAAAAGATACTTGGGAAGAATAAAATGATAAGAGGCAGCAACGAGAAGAGCAAAGTAGTGAGAGGCAGGAAGATTTGATCAAGAAAAAACTGTTGAGAGTGCAGATGACTTTAAAGATGTCTATTAAACTGAATTTATTGTGCTGGTTGACTAGTTTTTGAACAAATACCCCAAGGTTTTGATGAAGTGGTCAGTATACTCAATATTTAGGTCAAAGGCAGCAGCATAGTGTCCTGCACAACTACCAAGCGTAACCTTTTACTACTTTTAAAGTTGAAGGACTGCCAGTGCTATTGAAGTTATATAGATATTAAAAGAAAAATGTGCTTCCAGCTTTGTAGCAAACATTCCCTTCCTGTTTAAGCATGACAGTACCCCTGTGCACAAGGCTAGGTCCACAGAGTTTTCCAAGCTTTTTGTGGAAGAACTTGTCTGGCCTCCACAGAGCAGTGACATCGGCCTCATCAGAGCAGTGACATCGGCCTCATCAAGCACATCTGGTGTGAACTGAAATGCCAAAAGTGACCAAACCCCTATTGCTCATCATCTCACCAATGCTGTTGTGGCTGAACGGAACAAATTTCTGCAGCCAGGTTCCAAAATCTTTAAGATAAAGTCACAAATTGTTGCAGGGTTTATTCCGAGCCTTGCAAAAGATAAGTTAGGTGTGCAGCCAAACACCACATGTCCCACATATGAATAAAAAGTGCCTGCACACTGACAAAACAACAAAGAGGTTATTCAGATGCAAAAAATATAAATTTGAGTTACACGTGATAAATTTTGAATTAAATGTTTCAGTCAAAAGATTATCATCAGCACAGCTTCTGCAGACCTAGCGAGCAAACAGACCATCAGTAAAGACCAATCAAGAACACAAGGTGTTTCACATGAGCTCACTTAGGTCTGGTCACACAGCCTCCATGGAGGGCAGAAAATCAGCGCTGATTAAGTGTTGGTACAGTGGGGCAAATAAGTATTTGATACACCGCCGATTTTTCAAGTTTTCCCACTTACAAAGAATGGACAGTTCTGTAATTTTCATTGTAGGTAAACCTCAAATGCGAGAGACAGAATCTACCAAAAAAATTCCAGAAAAATCACATTGTAGATTTTTAAATAATTTATTTCCATTTTATTACATGTAATAAGTATTTGATACAATAGAAAAATAGAACTTAATATTTGGTACCGAAACCTTTTGTTGCCCAAAATCTCGCGCTACATGGCCCCATCCATCCTCTCTTCAATACGGTGCAGTCGTCCTGTCCCCTTTGCAGAAAAGCACCCCCAAAGCATGATGTTTCCACCCCCATGCTTCACGGTTGGGATGGTGTTCTTGGGATTGTACTCATCCTTCTTCTCCTCCAAACACGGCGAGGAGTTTATACCAAAAAGTTCTATTTTGGTCTCATCTGACCACATGACCTTCTCCCATGCCTCCTCTGGATCATCCAGATGGTCTTTGGCAAACTTCAGATGGGCCTGGACATGTCCTGGCTTGAGCAGAGGGACTTTGTGTGCGCTGTAGGTTTTTAAGCCATGACGGTGTAGTGTGTTACTAATGGTAACCGTTGAGACTGCGGTCCCACCTCTCTTCAGGTCATTGGCTAGGTCCTCTTGTGTAGTTCTAGGCTGATCCCTCACCTTTCTCAGGATCATTGATACTCCACGAGGCAAGATCTTGCAATGAGCCCCAGTCCAATGGAGGTTGATAGTCATCTTGAATTTCTTCCATTTTCTAATAATTGCACCAACAGTTGTTGCCTTCTCACCAAGCTGTTTGCCTATTGTCCTGTAGCCCATCCCCAGCCTTGTGCAGGTCTACAATTTTGTCCCTAGTGTCCTTAGACAGCTCTTTGGTCTTGCCCATAGTGGAGAAGTTGGAGTCTGATAGATTGAGTGTGTGGACAGGTGTCTTTTATACAGGTAACAAGTTCAAACAGGTGCAATTAATACAGGCAGTGAGTGGAGGATAGGAGGGCTTCTTAAAGACAAGCTAACAGGTCTGTGAGAGACAGAATTCTTGCTGGTTGTAAGGTGATCAAATACTTATTTCATGCAATAAAATGGAAATAAATTATTTAAAAATTTAACAATGTAATTTACTGGAATTTTTGGTAGATTCTGTCTCTCACAGTTGAGGTGTACTTACGATGAAAATTACAGAACTGTCCATTCTCTGTAAGTGGGAAAACTTGAAAAATCGGCGGTGTATCAAATATTTATTTGCCCCATAGTATGTGAGCTGTAGGTGTGCACTCATATATAATATAATATGTTCACATAAACAGGAACACAAATGATGGTATGCAGCACTGACTTTATTCCAAACCATGAACTGACATTTCAGCAACCATGTGCCTTCCTCAGGGATTTAAATATAATATGTTGTTCTGCCAGTGTGTGGGCACTTTTTTCATAATTAGGAATCTTTCAGGAAAGCCTGAAACTGTCAGGTTCGCTCAGCGCGACCTGCCTCTCCTTCGCCT